CGGGGGACCCTATGCATTCTCTCGCTCTTTTCGCTCGGCTCCGCTTGCGCGTTCGCCTCCTTGTTTTTGTTTGAGACGCACGATGTACTGTCCCCTCCTCCCCTGCTTCCGGCGCCGCCGCCAGCACCGGTCCCCCTGCCTTCTACACCGCCGTAGCGTGTCCCTCCTCTCGCACCCGTCCTCCCTCTAGCACCCGTCTCCGTCCTCTATGTCCCCCTCCTCCTCCCAGCACCGCCCACCTCCTCTCTCCTGACCGACCGCAGGGTATGTTCGCCCCTCCTCCCCAGCACCTCCCTCCACCGTCACACCGCGCAGGTATGTCCTCTCCCCCTAGGCCGCAACCTCCTCCCGTCTCCACACGCACCCCGCGTTATTTCCCTTCCTCCATTTGCACCACCGCACCGCTACCTCCGCCCGCTGTACACTGCAGATGTCCCCCTCCTAATCGCCGCGACCGTCCCGGCCTCCTCGCCCGCCTCCCCCGCCGACGCACCGCACTTGCTCTTCTCTAGCATCGCGATATGTCCCCTCATCCGCCCACCGCCTGCGGAGTCCCACTGGGCCTCCCGTACAACCGCAGTATGTCCCCCTCGCCACCCCGCCCCCCCCCCATGAGCGCTAGGGTTGGCCTGCCTCTCCCCTAGCACGGGCAGTGATGTCCCCGCCCTGCGCTCGTCGCAGGCACGCACTCGCTCCCCCAGCCACGCCACTGCTCCCCTTACGACGCGAGTATGTCCCCTCCTCCCTGTCAGCACCTCCCACTCTCCCCCTACACGCAGGGTATGTCGCCTCTGCCTCCAGCCACCGCCCACCTCCCCCCTACACCAGGTATTGTCCCTCTCCTCGTGCCTCTGAGCACGCCACCCCTCCCTACCCGCAGGGTACTGTCCTCCTCTCGTCCATCTAGCATCCCGCCACCCGTTCCCTACACTGCAGGCTATATCCTGCCCCCTCCCCATCGACGGGCCCCCACATCGCCTCCCCCCTACACCTAAGGTATGTCTCCTCCTCTGCTTCCAGCACGCCCACTCTCCCCTCATACACACAAGATAGTTCCCTCTCTCCTCCAGCCAGCGCACTGCGTCCCGCTAGCACCACAGGTATGTCCCCCTCCTTCCGCGCCCACGCCTACTCTCTCCCGTATACACGCAGTTATGGTTCCTCCCTCGGTACACGGCGCGCACTCTCATACAACAGAATCCTCGTGTCACCCAGCAGCCGCCAACATTCCCCTACACACAACTCTCCTTTTAACGCCAGGTATGGTTGTATGGAAGTTGATTGGGTGTGTACAGGAATGGTGCGCCTGTGATGTTGTGAATAGTCCGTAATGTTGGTATAGAGCGTGCGGTATTGCGGAATGTTGTACCGATAGCCTGTGTGGCTGTCGTAACTGGTGTTGCGGGAGGGAATGCTTGTGAGATAGCCTGTTGTGGTGTTGCTAGGAATGTGTTGTACGTTAGCCTGTGTGTGGTGCTGCAGGAATGGTGTCACGTTAGCTGTGTGGTGTTGCCCAGTGAATGTTGCTACGGATAGCTGTGTGTGTTTGCAGGACATAGTCTGTACGTTTGCTGTGTGGTGTTTGCAGGAACATAGTTGTTCCGTTAGCCTGTCGTGGCGTTGCAGGAAATGTTGCTACGATTACGCCTTGTGTGTCGTGTTGCAGGAATGGTGCTAGCCGTTAGCCTGTTGTGTGTTGCGGAGGGTTACATCGTTGTACCCGTAGCTAGTGTGGCGTTGGCAGCGAGAGATGGTTGCTAGCGGAGTAGCCTGTTGTGGTGTGTCAGGATGGTTCCTCGACACCGGCATGCAGAGTCTGAGTGGAGCAGAGTGATGGAGAATCAGGCTGATTCGCAGAAAACATGTGTTTCCTGCCCCGTTACTTCCGTCCGTGGCTTGCAGTCCGATCGCGCTCAAGGCCAGATCTTGGCCGACGCAGGTAAGATGTTTGTTCTCTCTGCGCGACGGCGTGTGGCTCTGTCCGCGTCTCCGGCTTCTGCCACGGGATGAGACCTCCTGTGGGCCGCCGTTCACTCTTGGCCCGCCGTCATCTCTCCTCGCCACGCGTACTCTTCCTGTCTCGCCTCTGCCACGGGCAGGCTCCTCGTGCGCTGCCAATGGTGCGTACTCTTGGCCATGGCGTGTCTACTGCGCACGGCGTCGCTCGGTTGCTGGCGGGTCTCACTTGCCCATGGCCATTATCGCTCGACGATGTATCTGCGCGGTCTCACTCTACGCAACTGTGCGTGCCTGCTGCGCGTCTCACTCTGAGCCCACGTCTCACTCTGCCCACGGCGTACGTCGCCACTGGCGTACTCTGCCCGGCGTCGCTCTGCACGACGTACTCTGCCACGGCGTACTCTGCACCGCGCTACTCTGCCACGCGTGCTCTGCCACGGCGGTGCTCTGCCACGGTGTGACTCTGCCACGGCGATACTTCTGCCACAGCGTACTCCTGCACGTCTCTCACTCTGCTATTGGCGCTCCGTCTGTCCACTGGCTGTACTTATGCCAGGGCGTACTCTGCCAGGACGTACTCTGCCCCGACGCGTTACTCTGCCACGCGTGCTCTTGCCACGGCGTGCTCGTGCCACGGCGTACTCTTGCACGGCGTTGTCTGGCACGGCGTGCCTCTGCACGCGCGCCCGTACTTTGCCCACGGCTTACTCTGGCACGCCGTGCTCTGGCCACGCCGATGCTTTGCACGGCGTTTTTTACGTCGTTGGGGGCCACGGCGTGCTCGGGCCACGCCGTTGCTCTGGTTCACGGCGTCCTCTTGCACGGCGCTGCTCTGCCACCGCGTACTCTGCACGCTCGTGGCTTCTGCCCACCGCGGTTATCTTGCCCACGGCGTGCTCTGTGCACGCGTGCTCTGCCTACGGCGTACTCTGCACTGCGTGCTCTGCCGGCGTGCTCTGCCAGCGCGCGTGAGGTCGTGGTGAGCCACGGCCGCTTACTTTCTGCCAGCAGCCGCTACTGCTGGCACGTCTCACTCTGCTCACGGGTGCTCTGCCACGGCGTTCTGCCTCATTGCACAGCTTACTTGCCACGTCTCACTCTGCCCACGGCGTGCTCTGCCACGGGGTGTACTCTGCCACGGCCGTACTCTTGCCACAGCGCTACTCTGTCACGTTCTCCACCTTCTGCCACAGTTACGTGCGTGCTCACTGTTCTCACTCTGCCCACGGCGTGCTCTGCTACGGCTTGTGAGCTCTGTCACGGGTACTCTGCACAGCGTACTTGCACGGTGTTTCTCACTCTTGCCCACGGCGTACTCTGACAGGCGTACTCTTTTTTTTTTTTGCCACGGCTGTGGCTTGCCACGTCTCGCGTTGCGTCGTGCACCGGGTGCTGTACTCTGCACGGCGTGCTCTGCCATGGGGTTACGTCTGCCACGGTGTTACTCTGGCCACGTCTCACTCTGCGCTATGGCTCCTCTAGCACAGCGCGCTACTCTGCCAGGGCGTTACTCTGCACGTATCTACTCTCCAGGCGTGTCTGCCCCACCCCCCCCCCGGGTGCTCTGCACGTCTCACTCTGCCGACGGCCGTACTCGCACGGGTACTCCTGCACGGCGTTGTCTGTGCCACGGGTGCTCTGCCACGGCATACTTGCCATGGGCTTTTGCTCTTGCACGGCGTGCTCTACGCATGCCGTGTACTCCTGCACGAGGTCGTTTTTCGTTTTTCTTTTTTTTCTCTACTCTGCCACATGCATGCTCTTGCTCGTCGTCTCGCTTTTGCGCATCGCCGTACTGCTGCCCAACGGCACGCTCTGGCCGCATCTCCGCTCCTGCCCATTCGGCACGCGTCTGCGCCGTACTCTGGCCGAGCGCACGCTCTTCCGCCACTCTAGCCTCTGCCACCGGCACGCTCTCGCGCGTCTCCGCTCTGCCGGGCGATACTCTGCATCGGCCACGCTACTGCCGCATCTGCTCTGCATGCCCCCTCCCACTGCCTCTTGGCCGCGTCTCACTACTTCCAGACCCGCCCACTATCCGTGCCGGCGCTTGAGAGAGCGGCACTTTTTAAAGCCACCGACCCTTCTTTTAACTGCTTGCTGTTTCAAGCATTTGAAGGGTTTTGTGAGCCTATGACGTAATTGTGTTAGGTAATTCTCCCTGACCTCGCAATCGGAGCGCATATCTGCAGTTATCGCTTAAATAAACAGACTTACTGATAAAAAGCAGTCGATCGCTGTATTGTAATGAAGCTCAAGGAAAACTGATTACTCAGTTGCGCGTCTTTATGAGACCTTGCCTGTTCTTATTACGAGCACGATATGATCGCGTAGGTGTCGTTTTTTGTGTATACACTTAGCACGTCACGGTCTTTTTCATAGGACAGGATTGCCACACTACTTTCTTAAACCGGACGGCCTCGAATGTTAACAATGCCCAAAATTATCTTTTTTTTCTATAGGAAGTGTGCTGCTGCTAGTTTCGGTATTCTGCTAACATGCGACATGGCCTTACCGTTGATTTGTTATGATGATTGTAGTCGTTACCTCATTTCTCGCCATTGTTTCATCGTGTCGATGTGCACGTTCTTTTTGCTCTCTCTAGATTGTCTCGATACAATCCGTTGTTTGGGAATCGGCAGCTCAGCAAAAACTTAAGCAGCATGTTGCCCACATTTCGTACAGCAAGGTAGAGGAACGCAGAATCGTCAAGAAATATAAATAGAAAACATATAAAAATTCTCTCTGTCGATTTGGGAAGAGCCAATGGCGGGTTGGTTGGACGGCATACAGTAGGCTCAGTCTGGTCTGTCACAGCTGTTGCGAGTTCTTCATATCTCAGACAAGCTTTTTACCATCATTAAGCCAGATGCATTACCAGACTGAATATAACAGTACAATGACGAACAATCAGTCGCAGAAAACAAACAACTCAGAGTGTTAATAATTGTTAATAATAGTAATCAATAATAGAAGGTTGAAAAACTAGTGAATAACCGTGGCTTAATTGGTTAACATAGTAGATGCAGAAGTTTGCTTGTTAAGCTCAGCGCAGCAATTAGTAGCAATGGCCTTGCAGGCGCCAGTAGCAATTGGCAGCAGGAGCGCAGCCACGTGAGCAGCAGCCAGCAGCAACAGCCAGCAGCCAAACACGCAGCGTAGCAGCCAGCAGCCAACAGCAGTAAGCAGCAGCAGCCGTAGCGAGTAGCAGAAGCTGCTCACGCGAGCTATCCGTACAACACACAAGATAGCAACAACGAAGACCTCATTGCGTTTGAGAATCCACGGGGGTTGTCGCAAAAGCGATTGAGAAGCGTCACCCAGCTGCTGTAAACGCGTGTGCAGTGAACGTAAGCCCAGCTAACGCTATCCTCCACGTCGTCTCGGTTTTCGCAGATGCACGAGGCCCGTAGACGCAGCAACATGATGCACTGTACCAGAGGGCTGCAAGCGTCATGGCAGATTCAGCACGGGGCTGCAGGTGGCTTCGTCGAGTACGGGATTCTTTCCAGGCGTAAGGCGCTCGTTACATTCTAGTTAAATAAATTTGTTAGTTAGCCGGTAATATTTCGGAGGCAGCTCGCGTTTCGTCGACTCGACCTAAGCTGCAGCTGCGTGCGGTGTTTCGTTCTCGTCTCTGCCTTCTGGAATGTGATGTATTAAATATGTGAAATTTGAATTGCTTTCTGGCCTATAATAAAAAAATTTAAATTATTTTTTTGAAAATTAACTTGTTTTCGAAATCTTGGCTTTAATGATGCCGTGCTATATGGATGTTTGCTCTCGTTAATTGCCGTCGGCTCATTTAATATCCTTCAATCGTAAGTACACTCAGCGCTTGTTAATATGCTGCGCCGTCGTTTATATACCTGCACACTCCTTAATAAGCGCGCACTTCGTTTACACAGGAGTTGCCTGGGTGCAGGCGGCACCGCGCCCAGCTGGAACCGTCCGGTGGCACCAGGGACGCGGCCCCGGCTCCCCGCCCGCACGACGCGACACCAGGGGCGCGCGCACTACGATCGAACGCGCCTTTTCACAACCCCTGCACGGCGGCGGGACAGGCGGAGGCGGCGAGGCGAGACCAGAATTGTGCGTTGTGCAGCTGATGACTAGAGTGCCTGAGGCATGGGGCAGGTGAGCTCTCTCACTCCTCACCTCTCTCTTCGTTCGTTCTCTCGACGCCTTTCACTCCCTCTCTTCTTCACTCTCTTATTGCTCTCTCTCTCTCTCTGTCTGTGTCTCTCTCTCTCTCTCTCTCTTCTCCTCTCTTCTCCTCTCTCTCTCTCTCTTTCTCCTCTCTCTCTGTCGGAGGAGGGGGACATACCTGCGGTGTAGGGGGAGGAGGTGGGCGGTGCTGGGGGGAGGAGGGGGACATACCTGCGGTGTAGGGGGAGGAGGTGGGCGGTGCTGCACTCGTCGAGGTGCTTCGGCTGCTGCTGGCGGACGCCGATGACGACGCAGACGCAGACGACGTGGGCGCCCACGGGTTCGGTAGCGGCTCGCGATTCTCCAAGCCCTGCTGCGCCTGCGACGTGTCTACGGAAGAGAAGGAAAGAAAGACCGTAGCAACATGGGAGAGACTCGTCTGTTACTTGTATAAAGGTGTCGGCAAGGAGACCAGCAAGTGTCCTTTATAGACAGGTGTCCTTCTACGCAAGAAATAGAAAGAAAATGAAAGACCTTAGTGTCACCGCCGACTCGCCTGTTATTTTCCTACTGTTATTTTACTTCCTGTTTATTTTGCCTCTTCTACGAAAGAGAAGGAAGAAGAAGAAAGACCTTAGCAACATGTGAGACTCGTCTCTTACTTTCGCAGTGCGGTCGAACCTGCGTATAGGGGTCGCTCAAGTGAAACCAGCAAAAGTGACTTTTATAGACAGGTGTCCTTTCTATAGAGGTGGTTTCACTGTATAACTGCAACCCACAGGAAATGTGAAAAGCGTCTCGTGTATAGACAGGTGTCTGCTCTATTGAGTGGACGGCTGACTTGGGTTTGACTGCATTGGTGCACACCCTTGCACCAGGCCACTAGAGTGAGCTCCTCCACCCCTCGAATTTATCACTATATTTCCAATCAATTGTGGCTTCTTCGGTTCTGGATAAGTACTAGATTAACTACATTTTATAGCAATGGATTTTACACGATTAGAATTAAACTTGCGTGTGCGAACACTCCAAAATTTCAATCGCAATTATATCAAATCGAAAATCCTAAAGCCGATATAAAATATTTGGATAATTTCTGTTAGACTTCTCGAGGTTACACGCACGTAACACAGCAAAGTCATTCTTCATTCTGTAATGTGACCCAATATGAGAAACAATCCCTGTAATACCTGAATCATTGGTGACGAGTGCTTGAAATGGATTTCCAGCAACTTGGCTCTGAGCTGCATTTAGCATTGGTTCTTGTATATCTCTGTACATGCGCTGCAAGGCATTCATACCTCCTGGAAAACTCTGTAACGGCAACGACAAACACACATTATCACACTGGCATCGGCAACCATAGTAGAAACGTTCCCTGCATCCAAGCGCTAACACCCCAACTACCACTGCAGACGTCTAGCAAACGCAAAGCACTGTGAAAATAAGTTGGATATCTTTGAATGCAGATGGCGCCACCATCGATAAACCTCACCTCCAGGTTGCTGAGGGCGCGGTCCTGCGTACGCATCACTTCCTGTAGCATCGAGGGATTGCGTGCCAACTCCATCGTCTGCCGCATCAGTTCCGGGTTGTTCAGCATGTGCGTGATCTCGGGGTTTCTCTGCAAAACGCGCCCACATGAAGCGATGCTGCTTGAGATGTTCTCCCAACAGGGTTATACCCTGAGAGCGCAAAAACCACCAGAGAAAAACTGCACTGCTATATGCATTCGCTATTTTAGGGTGCACTCAAACCTGCCCCCCTTCCCCCCATTGTCAGAAAGAAAATCTTATCATTGGTCTTAACACTGGCTTTTTTTTCATAGAAACGGTCGACTGAATATCGTTTCGTATTTAAGTTACGAGGATATTCGATGGTGCGGGTTTTCATCCTCGTAACTTTACGGCGTTTCTGTCGACGGTCAAAGTGAAAACGTCCACGCTAAGACCAATGTTAAGACCGATTTTGCTTCTGACAATGTGGGCCTAGCCTAGGTGTCATAACCTTATAACCTAGGATAGGTGTCATAACCTTCATATGACACTCCACGTGGACACGTCGTGACATCCTAGAGTCCCAACTGCCCAATGTCACAACTATTCGTTCTATTACTGCATGAACTACCGATTTTACGTTGGCGAATTGGCGAGTTGGACCAATTTCGCAATTCGGCAACTCCGAGTTGGCGAAAATAGAACATGTTCTAATCTCCCAACTAGTTGCTATCGATCGGTTGTTCGCGCAACTTTTGCATTTACACTGCCGATTGTCGGTTGTATAGTTGGGTAGTTGGTACAATTCACCAATTCGCCAACACAAAGTCAGTAGTGTAAGCCCAGCTTTCCTGTCACCTCCATCAACTCTTGCATCTGTGGATTGCTCGTGATCATCTGTCTCATGACGTCCGGATTCGACATCAGATTTTGCACCATTGGATTATCCATGATCTGTCTCATCATATCTGGATTGTTCATTAACTGCAAAAACACACACGCTGTACACTCCTGCACGTAGTCACGGTAACTCTGTGGTATGTAATCTACCATAGTGAGAGTGAGAGAGCTCACCTGCCCCATGCTCTGCAGCATCTGAGTCATCAGCTGCACAAACTGGCCGTTCTGGTCCGCGCTCCCGCCTCCGCCTGTCCCCGCCGCCGCTGCCGGGGTTGTGGTCGGCGGCGTCGTCGTAGTGCCGGCGACACCTGGTGTCGCGGTCGTGGCGGGCGCGGGAGCCGGGGCGCTCCCTGGTGCCGACGTTCCAGTGGGCGGCGGTGCGGCTGCACCAGGCATCCTGTGTAACGAGTGCGGCTTATTAAGGAGTGTGGCGTATTAACGAGCGCAGCATATTAACAAGCGTGGTGTATTAACGAGTGTAGGATATTAATGAGCGAGGCAATTAATGAGAGCAACAGTCCATGAGCACGGCATATTAAAGCCAAGATTTCGAACATAATTTTCAAAAATAATTTAAATTTTTTTATTAATAGGCACGAAAAGCAATTCGATTTCAATATTTAATACATCACATTCCAGAAGGCAAGACGACGAAACACCCGACGCAGCTGCACTTCGGTCGATCGACGAAACGCGGAAGCTGCCGCCGAAATTTACCGGCTAACTAACAAATTTAATTTAACTAGATTTAACGACGCGCGCTCACCCTGGGAAGAATCCCGGAGCTTCGGACTGAAGCACCTGCAGGCCCTGCTGAATCTGCATGACCGCTTGCAGTGCCCTCTGGTTAGTCATCATGTGCTGCGTCTCGGGCCTCTGCATCTGCGAAACGAGACGACGTGGAGGATAGCGTTAGCTGCGCTTACGTTCACTGCACACGCGCTTACAGCACTGGGGTGAGCTTCTCCAGTGCTTTTCGACAACCGTGATTCTCACGCAATGAGGTCTCGTTGTTGCGTTCTTGTTGTGTTGTACGGATGCTCGCGTGAGCACTTCTGCTATCGCTACGCTGCTGCTGCTACTGCTGTTGCTGCTGCTGCTACTGCTGCTGTTGCTGCTACTGCTGCTGTTGCTGCTGCTGTTGCTGCTGCTGCTGCTACTGCTGCTGCTCCTGCTGCATTGCTACTGCTGCTGCAGCATTGCTACTATTGCTGCTGCTGCTACTGAAACTTCTGCAATCTACTAGGTTGAACCAATTAGCAGGTATTACTAGTTTGTCAAACCTTCAATTATTGTTATTACTATTATTACAATTATTAACATTGTTGTTGTTTCTGCTGTTGTCGTCATTGTTGTTATTGTTGTTGCATCTGGCTAATGATGGCTAAAAAAGCTTGTTGATCTAAGGTACTCGCAACAGCTGTTGACAGACCAGACAGAGCTACTGTATGGCCTTCTCGCATTGCTCTCCCATCGCAACGAGATATTTATTGTTTTTCTATTCATATTTATTTACGAGTTGCGTTCCTTACCTGCTGTACGAAATGTGGCAGCTGCTGCTGTAAGTTTTGCTGGAGCTGCGGATTCCCGGCAAACAACGGATTGTTCGAGACGATCTAAAAACAAAAGAACGTGCACTCGACATGAGGAAACAATGCGAGAAACAGGTATCACTACAATCATCACTACAATCAAGGTAAGCCCATGTCGCATGTTAGCAGATACCACTAGAGAGCACACGTTTCTATAGAAGATAATTTCGCCATTTCCTTCGAGCGTCGGTTTAAGAACTGATACCTGTCTATAAAGGACACTTGAGTGGCAGTTATACCACGACACTACCTCCGTATAAAGAACAGCAGTCTATAAAGGGCACTGTTCAGGGGTTTCCTTGACTGGTCCTTACATACAAGGTCGACTGCTTTTTCAAGTAAGTCTATTTTTACATCTGCAGTATGACTATGAGCGGCCGATCGAGTGCAGAGATTCTACAATTCGTATAGCTAAAAACCTTCCAATCTGAAACACGCGTAAAATCGGTTTCGTCCGCTGGGGGTGAATTCCACGGGCTGGGGTGAATCACACGGGCTGGGGTTGATCACGGGGGCTAGGGGTAAATCACGGGGGCTGGGGTGAATCACACGGGCTGGGGTAAATCACACGGCTGGGGTAAATCACACGGGCTGGGGTAAATCACACGGGCCGGGGGTGAATCACACGGGCTGGGGTAAATCACACGGGCTGGGGTGAATCACGGGGGCTGGGGGTCAATAACACGGGCTGGGGTTGATCACGGGAGTTGGCCGGGGTGAATCACGGGGGTGGGCGTGTTCAGCACTATAGAATAGGACCATTCCGCAGAACCTTCCACACATGACACCAGGTGAACATAACTTGCAATTAAATCAATTTAAGTAAACCTACTGTGGTTCGTACAAAAGAAATGGAAAAATACGTTGTCAGTGTTAATTGCTGATGATTTACTGCGTACATTCTACATACTCTTAATAACATGAATGTCCTTCTTTACTACGGTTTCCCTTTATGGATAATGATTGCTCGCTTTTATTAGGTTTCTTTTACCCAACCTGTTATATTTCGAACATTGTCTCATGTACAGCATATTACCCGCACAAGTAGGGTGAATAAAAACAAATATAAAATCAAACTCTAAGTAAGAAGTTCAGCGAAACCGTTTACACGAACCAACGTAGAAAATCACAATAACATCAGCCAAACACTTACTAAAACAAGCAGCCAACAAAAAATGTCTTAACAATTTATATTACTCTTGAAATGCGTGATACACGAAATCGCACGCATGCATACACATCCGATGGCGGGAAAGGGAATTTCCATTCACAATTTGTATAAGCATGGTTCTGTTAAGTTCGTGAAGACAGTACGGTAAGAGATGTTATTAAAAAATACCACTTGCGTTGAATGTCTTCATTGATTTTAAAACTGTTTTATTATAGCCATGTAGTAATTATATAGCTGTGACAGAAAATTAAATGTGAAAATAGATATATACAATAATAATCGCAAAAGTAATTGCAACACACAGCAAAGGTCACAAAATATTTTCTATAAAGCTTGGTGTTGTTTTCATTAATGTAATGAATATAAAATATGGGACATACATCAGAACAACTTCGATATGATGAAATTATCTGAAGATGATAAAAACCTAACAATTGTTGTGTAGCCAGACAGTGAAAAGCAGTTTTAGGGGCACACGAGTTTTCATAGAACATATTTCTTGACCCACACTGTAAATTGATTTACCCGGTGTTATCACGAACAATGACTAATCTTCCAGCCCAGTTAATTGTCGATTTGAAGTAAATAATGCAGCAGACGACGATTTTTTCAGGTGACGAGCTTCGCAGGTGCTAATCAACTGTTGCATAACTCACCTTGTCAGACAGCTGCTCAGCCATTGTCAGACAGCTGCTCTGCCATTGCCAGACACCTGCTCTGCCATTGTCAGACAGCTGCTCTGCCATTG